GGCGCAGTGGCTCATATGGCTGGGTGCAGTGGCTCATGCCTGTAATCCCAGAACTTTGGGAGGCAGAGGTAGGTGGAGCACCTGAGGTCAGGAGTTCCAGACCAGCCTGGCCAACATAGTAAAACTCTGTCTCTACTAAAAATACAAAAAAAAATTAGCCAGGTGTAGTGGTGGGTACCTGTAATCCCAGCTACTTGGGAGGCTGAGGCAGGAGAATTGCTTGAACCCAGGAGGCAGAAAACCAAGATTGCACCATAGCACTCCAAACTGAGCAACAGGAACGAAACTCTGTTTAAAAATTTAAAAAAAAAAAAAAGCTGGGCATGGTGGCTCATACCTGTAATCCCAGTACTTTGGGAGGCTGAGGCAGGAGAATCGCTTGAACCCAGGAGGCAGAGGTTGCAGTGAGCCAAGATTGCACCATTGTACTCCAGCCTGAGCAACAGGAGCAAAACTGTTTCAAAAAAAAGCTGGGCACGGTAGTCATACCCGTAATCCCAGCACTGTGGGAGGCTGAGGCAGGTGGATCACAGGGTCTGGAGTACAAGGCCAGAGTGACCAACCAACCAACATGGTGAAACCCCATCTCTACTAAAAATACAAAAATTAGCCAGGCGTGGTGGCATGCACCTGTAATCCCAGCTACATGGGAGGCTGAGGCAGGAGAATCACTTGAATCCAGGACGTGGAGGTGGCAGTGAGCCGAGATCATGGCACTGTACTCCAGCCTGGGCAACAGAACGACACTTCATCTCAAAAACAAAAAAAATGGTTGTAGTGTATGTTTAAAAATAGTTAAGATGGTACATTTTGTGTTATGTATTTTTTGCAATTAAAAAAAGTTGGCAATTAAAAAAGAAAGCTAAAAGGATGAATAGGAGGAAGGACCTCCTTGCCAAAAGAACAGAATGAAAAGTAAAAAGAAAAGAAAAAAGAAAAGAGAAGACGGTAGGGGAGGGAGGGAGGGAAGACAGACAAATTTACAAAAAGGGAGGAACATAAAGAGTGTTGACAGTTACACAACAACGTAAATGTGCTTAATGCCACTGAACTGTATGTTTAAAAATGGTTAAAATGATAAATTTTCTGTATATTTTACCAGGATTTTTTAAAAAGGGGGAAAAAAGAGTAGGTTCCAATTTTTCAGAGAAACCATTTTGAATGATGAAACACCCACAAACACATCTCAAATCCCAACTTAAACCCCAACTTCTTCCATCAGAGTGATCCTACGATAACACTTTGGTATAAAAAGTCCTTTTTGTCTACGGACCATAGAAACAAAATCCACGTACTGAAAAAGAAGCACCGACAGGTCTTCGAATCCACTTGGGTGGCTTCTTCAGAGGCAGCACTATACTATGCTGAGCAGTCTGCTGTGGAATTTGCAATGGAGGAAGGGGTTGTCCTGTGCCAAAGGGATCAAGATTCCCAAAAGATGATGAAAGCTAAAAAAGATAATAACATCAGAATCTGACCATACAACAAACTATGCTTCATTTTTTTCCAGTCACATCCAAGAAATTTTTTGATCACAATTATCCAATTAACCAGCATTGTTAATCAGTAAAGTCATTTCAAAATAATTACACAATACATATTTTTTCAGGCATTATAATAGAAAACTTTAATACTTCCTATTACCTTGTCAACTTGTTTCTGCCTTAATCTATCTGTGCTCCCTCCCATGATAGAATAAACACTGATACGCCCATCGAACGAAGCAGCTGATAAGACAGCAGGATTTCGGGGACACCACTGAATATCAAAGCACCACTGTGTGTTGGTGGGAAGTTCATATAACACCTAGGCCAACAAAACACAAACAACGAATTCAGAAAATGGCATGGCCACTTTGTAACCAAAACACCTGAATTAATGTGGTCAACAAGTACGGCTAAATAAAAAAAATTTTTATAGAAAGTGTCTTTAGCCAGAAACAAGAGTGGATACATTTGAAAGAGCAGTACACTTTATTAGTCAATATGGTGGGTTTTTGTTTTGTTTGTTTTTTGAGATAGGAGTCTCGCTCTGTCGCCCAGGCTGGAGTGCAGCGGCAGTGACCTCAGTTCACTGTGACCTTTGCCTCCTGGGCTCAAGCAATTCTCCTACCTCAGCTTCCCAAGTAGCTGGGATTACAGGCGCCCGCCATCACACACAGCTAATTTTTGTATTTTTAGTAGAGACAGGGTTTCACCATGTTGGCCAGGCTGATCTCGAACTGCTGACCTCAAGTGATCCGTCTGTCTCGGCCTCCAAAGTGCTGGGATTACAGGCGTGAGCCACCACGCCTGGCCTAGGCTCAACTTTTTAAACTCTAAAAGGTCACTAATGTCCTGTCCAATTGTTTTTCTCTGGTTAAGACCCAATCAACCATATTTAGATTACTTTAGGATCATCAACTTCTAAAATCAATCTTGAGAGGGAAGAATTCACTAAGAAATCTGACTTTTAATCAAGAGAGAAAACATGTACTGTACACATCCTTCCTATCACAGCAGAATCCTAACAGAATCCGGATTAACAGCTTCTTTTAGAAAGAAAAGGACATAAAAAGAACTATAGAAAATGGCCTATATGAGGCCAGGAATAGTGCTCACGCCTATAATCTTAGCACTTTGGGAGGCTAAGGTGGGCAGACTGCTTGATCCCAGGAGTTCAAGACCAGCATGGGAAACACAGCGAAACCCCACCTCTACAAAAAAAATTTAAAAATTGGGGAGTGGGGGGTGGCAGGGAACATTAAAAAAAAAAAAAATTTGACAAGGCATGGTGGTACACGCCTGTAATCCCTGCTATCTGGGAGGCTGAGGTGAGAGGGCTGACTGAGCCTGGGAGGTCAAGGTTTCAGTGAGACATTATGGTACCACTGCATTCCAGCCTGGGTGACAGCAAAACCCTAACAAAAAATAGTAACAGTAATAAATAAACAAATAGAAAATGGCTTATATGAAATCTTTACAATGTAAAACTTGTTGTGAATTCAAAGTTAGTATGGTGGTTAACTGCTATTCACAGAAGCAAAATCTTAGGACTTTACGGTAAGTCAAATGAACTTAACTCTGGCTTCATGTGACCTTTTTTTCTTTTTTCTTTCTTTTTTTTTTTCAGACAGGGTCTCACACCGATGACTAGGCTGGAGTGCAATGGTGCAATCTTAGCTCACTGCAGTCTTGACCACCTGGGCTCAAGTGATCCTCCCACCTCAGCCTCCCAAGTAGTTAGGACTATAGGCACATGCCACCACAGCCAGCTAATTTTTGTATTTGCTGTGGAGATGGGGTTTTGCCAGCCTGCCTTGGCCTCCCAAAGTGCTGAGATTACAGGCATGAGCTAACACACCTGGCCCATGTGACATTTAAAATGTTTTATTTTATAAAAAAATAGAATTAATTGAAAAGGTAGTTAGCGTTCTCATGTCTCTGGTACTTATTTTGGTTGATAAGGTATGTAGTTTGAGAATACTTAAATCATTTATCTATTCCTTATTTATATTTGAACAAAATCTAATTTTTTAGTGTAGCATGTACTAAAAGTCTCTTCCTTCAAAGTCCACGCACATACAACAAATCACAGGTAAAAATTTATTTTATTAAGTTATATAACACAGAAAATGATGACAAAATAGTAAGTTCCAAGAATTCTGAATTTACTTGGCAAGGCAGAGTATAAAATTAAGATTTTTGTTATTTGTCCTAAATGATATGTGGTAAAATTTATTACTTTTTTTCTCTTGTCTCCCCTAACTTTAATGATTTTATATTCTCACACTGTTACATCCACAATTTTTAAACCAGAAACCAAATAACTAAAGGGCTTGTTTTAATTTTAACAATATAGAATGAAAACTTATCGAAGACACTCATTTTTATTAGCGTTCCGTCAAACTACATAATCACTAACAATAATCTACCTTAACATAAAAAAGGTAAAAATATAAAAGCTATAATTTATATTCTTGCTTTATCATTCAGAAGAGAGATTGGAAAACTATATCTACCGATCTCCAGAAGTGAAAGAGGATCCTCAGGAATGGTAAAGCAGGCAAAAGATGCAAACCTTGAACAATCCTACATCGAAGATACTGATTTCCATAAACCACATGTGAAATAAATCAAAGTATTTCTGAGTCTAGGTAATAAACACATTATTGGAAATGAGGAGAGGATGATTACTAGTTTCAAATATATCATTTTCAATTACTGATTTTTCTGGTTAAAAAGCTGAGCTTAGATAATGTTCCTGATAAAATTTCTGCCAAATAAACACTGCACACATACCTCCACATACTTTTCACATAGTAAGCCACTAAAGAATCCACATAGAAAATTTCTTATACAGCCAGAAGTAATATACTACAAGGGCTACAAGGTTGAGAAACATTTCCTCCCCATACCTCTCCTGTGTTTGGATTGGAGCAGAGAATCTTAGCATCTTTTCCACAGCTCAGTAACAATTCAGGGTCAGCCATGCTCCAAGCAATTGCCAAAATCCCCCTATAAAAAACACAAAGGAACAAGGAAATTTTTAATCTTGAGAAAACCAAATCTCAATTACTTCTGCCTAAGCTTTGAAGATTCACACATTAACGGAAATACAATTAAATGCAAGAGTTTTAACACCGGGCATGTTGGCTCACACCTGTAATCTTAGCTACTTGGGAGGTTGAGGCAGAATTACTTGAATCCGGGAGGCAGAGGCTGCAGTGAGCTGAGATCACACCACTGCACTTCAGCCTGGGCAACAGAGTGAGTGAGACACCGTCTCACTCAAAAATAAAATAAAATTTAAAAAGAAAAAGAAATAAAAATAAGTGCAATTGTTTCAGAAGACAACTTAGTAATGTATATGCTAACTGATCATAACAAAGACATAGATGTTCAATATAGTGCAATGTATGACAGCAAAAAAAAGAAAACAAATGCACAACAGACTATTTCATAATAAATTATAGACCACCTTTCAATGAGAAAATATGTAAATAAAAATTATTCTGTATACTTTGGGAGGCCAAGGCAGGAGGACTGCTTGAGGCCAGGAATTCAAGACCAACCTGGGCAATATAACAACACTCTGTCTCTACCAAAAAATTTGAAAATTAGCCAGGTATGGCAGTATGTGCCTACAGTTCCAGGCATACTCATGAAGCTGAGGTAGGAAGATTACTTGAGCTCAGGAGCTCATGGCTGCAGTGAGCTGTACTCTATCCTGGGCAAATAAGCAAGACCCATTTCAAAAAATACACATATCATTTTGTGGAAATCAACTTTTTATCATTATACAGTATTCATGATTAACGAAAAAGGTTATCTATACGCACAAATTATCCCATTTGTATAAAAACTATATTGGGATCACACACACACACACACACACACACCCCTTAGATATGTATAGTAAAATGTTTACCTATGGATGGGGATGAAATCTAACTGCAGTAAGTCCTTACTTAATTTGGAAACTGTGACTTTAAGCAAAACAATAGATAACAAAACCAATTTTACCACAGACTAACTGATAACTGATATGAACATTAAGTTCCTATGGTAGCCAGGCATGGTGGCTTACGCCTGTAATCCCAACACTTTGGGAGGCTAAGGAGGGTGGATCACTTGAGGTCAGAAATTTGAGACCAGCCTGGCCAACATGGTGAAACCCCATCTCTGCTAAAGCTATAAAAATTAGCTGGATGTGGTGGCGCCTGACAGTAATCCCAGCTACTCAGAAGGCTGAGGCAGGAGAATTGCTTGAACCTGAAAGGTGGAGGCTGCAGTGAGCTGAGATCTTGCCACTGCACTCCAGCCTGAGCCACAGAGGAAAACTCCGTCTAAAAAAAAAATAGCTCCTATATTTCTGATCACAAAAACATCATCAAATTTCTAAATAAAGATCTGCACTTTTAATATTAAACGCTGAAATAAATGTGACCTACATAAATTTTGAGAGAGACTAATAAAAACGAGATTTACCCACTTTTTGGTGATTCAGTGAATGACATTGGTTGTAGAGGCAGTGGATGGATTAAATCAAGAAATAAGTTTATAAAGTGAAAATTGTCAGGCTTCTACTTACCAAACAAAAAAAAATGACAGATGCGATGATTAATTTTATACCATATTGTTTACTGCCATGAATTTCTATGATCATCATGTATGTTACAAATTTTTATTTTACAGTATGTTGTATTCATTCATTTTCCAACCTGGTTATTCCAGTTCCGGATCGCAGGTGGCCAGAGCCTATCATGGCAGCTCAGAGTGCAAATCGGGAACAAACCCTGGACAGGATACTATTCCATTACAGGGCCCACTCACACACACTCCAACACTTTTCATACTGGGATAAATGTAGACATACCAATTAGCCATTTGAGAATTAATCTGAAGATATCATGATACATCATCCCTAAACTTACCTTCTGGGATAAGAACATTCTCCTATATAATTACACATTCAAAGTATTTATTATTGGCCAGGAATAGTGGCTCACACCTGCAATCCCAGCACTTTGGGAGGCCAAGGCAGGTGGATCACAAGGTCAGGAGTTCAAGGCCAGCCTGGTCAACATGATGAAGCCCCGTCTCTACTAAAAATACCAAAATTAGTTGGGGATGGTGGTGCATGCCTGTAATCCCAGCTACTCAGGAGGCTAAGGAAGAAGTATTGCTTCAACCCGGGAGGCGGAGGTTGCAGTGAGCGGAGATCAGGCCACTGCATTCCAGCCTCGGTGACAGCCTGGGTGAATATGAACTATATATTAAAAATAGCATTGCATATCAATAATGTCTTTTTTTCCCCAAGACTCTGCGGGGGAGAGTATTTATTATTGATATGCAATGCTATTTTTAATATATAGTCCATAAGCAAATTTCCTCATTATATCAATAATGTACCTTATAACTGCCTCCCACTCCAGAACACAATCATGCACGTCAAGAATTACAAGGTATACAAATTCTACCAGATATTGGTGCCAATCCTACTCAAACTATTTCAAAAGACTTACAAAGAGGGAATCTTCCCTAACTCATTGCATGAAGCCAGAATCACTCTGATACAAAAAGCTAGGAAAAGACACAACAAAAAAAAAAACTACAGACCAATATTCCTAATGAACACGGATGCAAAAATCCTCAACAAAATACCAGCAAACAAAATCGAACAGCACATCAAAAAGATACTACGCCATGATCAAAAAGTGGGTTTCATCCCAAGGATGCAGGGATGGTTCAACACACGCAAGTCAATAAATATGATTCACCACATAAACAGAATTAAAAACAAAACCCATATGGTCATCTCAATAGATGCAGAAAAAGCATCTGATAAAATATTGCATCTCTTTACGATAAAAACCCTCAACAAACTTGGCAAAAGAGGAACATATCTCAAAATAATAAAAAGCCATATATAAGAACATAACAACCTCATACTAAATGGGGAAAAGTTGAGAGCACCCCCCCCATAAGACTGGAATAAAACAAGGATGCCCACTTCCACCACTCTTTCCAGTTTCCATTCAACACAGTACTGGAAGTGATAGCCAAAGCAATCAGGCAAGAAAAAGAGCGAGCATCCAAACTGTAAATAAATACGGAAGTCAAATTATCTCTGTTGATGATAAGACTGTATACCTAGAAAACCCTAAAGATTCCTCCAAAAGACTCCTAGATTTGACAAATAAACTCAATAAGGTCTCAGGTAACAAAATCAATTCACACAAATTAGTTGCACTGCTGTACACCAACAGCAAACAACCTGAGAGTCAAATCAAGAACTCAATCCCTTTTAAGACGGCTGCAAAAATAAAATACTTAGGAATATACTTAATCAAGGAGGTAAAAAATCTCTACAAGAACTATAAAACACCACTGAAAGAAATCACAGATAACACAAATAAATGGAAAAACTTCCTATGCTCATGGACTGGAAGAATCAGTGCTGTGAAATGATCTCACTGTCCAAAGAAATCTACAGATTCAATACAATTCCCATCAAAGTACCAACATCATTTTTCACAGAATTAGAAAAGAAGAGCCTAAATAGCCAAAGCAATCCTAAGCAAAAAGAACAAAGCTAGAGGCATCACATTACCTGACTTCAAATTATACGACAAGGCTATAGTAACTCAAAATGGCATGGTCTTGGTATAAAAGTTGATCCACAGAGCAATGGAACAAAACAGAGAACCTAGAAATAAAAAGTACTTACAACCAACTGACCTCCAACACAACATATAATGGATTAAAGACTTAAACCTAAGACCAGAAACTATAAAAGTTCTAGAAGAAAACCTAGGAAAAACTCTTCTGGAAATTGGCCTAGGCAAAGAATTTATGACTAAGATCCCAAAAGCAAATGCAACAAAAACAAAAATGACAGCTAACTAAACTAAAAAGCTTAAGCACAGCAAAAAAAAGAAACGTTATTAGTAAACAGACAATCCACAGACTAGTAGAAAATATTTACAAATTCTGCATCTGACAAAGGACTAATACCCAGAATCTATAAGAAACTCAAACCAATCAGCAAGAAAAAAGCCAAATAATCCCATCAAAAAGTGGGCAAATGACATGCCTAGACACTTCTCAAAAGAAGATACACAGGTTGGGCACAGTAGTTAATGCCTGTAATACTAGAACTTTTGCAGGCTGAGGTGGGTGGATCACATGAGGTCAGGAGTTCGAGACCAGCCTGGCCAACATAGTGAAACCCCTCTCTAACAAAATTACAAAAATTGGCCAGGCATAGTGGTGTGCGCCTGTAGTCTCAGCTACTCAAAAGGCTGAGGCAGGAGAATTGCGTGAACCCAGGAGGCAGAGGCTGCAGTGAGCTGAGACCGTACCATTGCACTCCAGCCTGGTGACAGGGTGAAATTAAAAAAGAAGATACAAAAATGGCCAAAAAACATATGAAAAAATGCTCAACATCACTAATCACCAAGGGAATGCAAATTAAAACTACAATGAGATACCACTTTTCCCTAGCCAGAATGGCTATTATTAAAAAGTCAAAAAACAATAGATACTGATGTGGTTGTGGTGAAAAAAGAACATATATACACTGCTGATAAAAATGTAAATTAGTATAACCTCCATCCTCTATGGAAAACAGTATGGAGATTTTTCAAAGAACTACTAGATCTAGTATTTGATTCAGCAATTCCACTACTCAGTATCTACCCAAAGGAAAGTAAGTCTTTATATCAAACACTGTTGCCCAGGCTGGAATGCAGTGGTACAATCTCAGCTCACTGCAACCTCTGCCTCCTGGGTTCAAGCTATTCTCCTGCCTCAGCCTCCTAAGTAGCTGGGATTACAGGCATGGAGACATCACGCCCAACTAATTTTTATATTTTTAGTAGAGACAGGGTTTTGTTATGTTGGCCAGGCTGGTCTTGAAATCCTCACCTCAGGGGATCTGCCTGTTTCTGCCTCCCAAAATGCTAGGATTACAGGTATGAGCCACAGCACCAAGAGTGTCTTTTAAAGAAATCTGTTTTATATGGTATCTTAGAGGACATTTAGATTTTTCTTAGTATTTTCTTTTTTAATCACATCATTGGCCGGGTGTGGTGGCTCATACCTGTAATCCCAGCACTTTGGGAAACTGAGGCGGGCGGATCACCTGAGGTTAGGTGTTCAAGACCAGCCTGGCCAACATGCCGAAACCCCGTCTCTACTAAAAGTACAAAAATTAGCCAGGCATGATGGTGGGCGCCTGTAATCCCAGCTACTCAGGAGACTGAGGCAGGAGAAGAGCTTGAACCCAGAAGGCAGAGGTTGCAGTGAGCTGAGATAGCGCTACTGTACTCCAGCCTGGGCGACAGCAAGACTCCATCTCAAAACAAATAAATAAATAAATAATAATAATAATCCCAGCATTGTAGAACTAGAAGGGAATTTAAAGATCATCTCATATCCAACTCTTTCACTTATTAGAGGAAGAAAATTGAGAATTAGAGAAGTACACTTGGTATGTAGAGTATAGTATTAAGACTCTGGGATCAGACTGTTTAGACTGGAAGTCAGTGCTTGCCTGTCATATAACCTTGAGCAAGTTTAACCTTGCTGAGCTTCCATTTCTGATCTGTAAAACGGGGCAATAATAGTACCTACACTATTAATGTTAGTAAGAGAATTAAGCTAATATGTAAAGTGCTTATAAACTTTACATGCTATGTAAATGTTAGCTGTTCTCCGTCTACCAAGTAGGCTCCCTAAGGGCAGGGATTTTTGTTTTATTATGAATCCTGTTACAGTGCTTAGTACAGGGTACATATTCAATGAGTATTTGTTGAATTAATGAATACAATCTTAAATAATATGAGAAAAAATATTAAAACTTCTCAAAATCAACCCTTCTTTATTAAAAATCTGATTGAAGCATAACATCTACATAGGGTAACATTTTGACCAGACTTTTCTCCTTTATAAGAAGCTCAAGGAATTATCACAAACATTAAGAGTCATTAAGACAGGAGTATGGTGGCTCACACCTGTAATCCTAGCACTTAGGAAGCTGAGGTGGGTGGATCACTTCAGCCCAGGAGTTCAAGACCAACATGGGAAACATGACAAAACCCTGTCTTTAAAAAAATAGAAAAATTAGTTGGGCATGGTTCACACCTGTAGTTCCAAGTATTTGGGAGGCTGAGGTGGGAGGATCACCTGAACCCAAGGAGGTCGAGGCCTCAGTGGGCCAAGATCTCGCCACTGCACTCCAAGCCTGGGTGACAGTGAGATTCTGTCTCAAAAGAAAAAAAAAAAAAAGAAAAAGAAAACAAATAGAAGTTAAAAAGACTTCCTTCTAGCTGGGTGCAATGGCACATGCCTGCAGTCCCAGCTACATAGGAGGCTGAAGCAGGATAATTGCTTAAGCCCTGGAGTTTGAGTCATCAGTGAGCCATGACTGACTACTTCATTCAAGCCTGGGCAACAAAGCAAAACTGTCTCAAAAAAATATATAAATAAATAAAAATAAAGTCTATTTATTTCTAAAGATGATAGATGAAAAAAGCTCAAAAGTACTTAGGAAATGTTACAGCATTAAAAGGAATGTGTCTGGGTATCTGAATATCAATCATAAGAAATTTGCAAAATTAGTAATTAAATTTAATGATACTAAAACTAGTAAGATTCCCACATCAGCTTAGAGCACTCACACATTATTAAAACTGAAAGCACAATGAACTATTTTCTCAAAAATGTTTGTTTTAAATTATCGATAAAAATTTAGAAATAAACTTTAAACTGTTGCTTAACATCAAATGTTATGGAAGACTCAACTTTTAAAGTATGACAACCCTAATAAAGGTCAAATGGTATAATAAATTTCAAGGGTCGTCCCAAAGTACTGTATTATACTAAATTTTGATCTATTAGTTATTACTTGAAATAAGTGGAAAATTCTTTCACATATATTTGTTTTGTTATGCTATCATTCGGCTACCATTTTTTGGGGATATAAAATCAGATAACTATAGCTTAAAATAAAGCCATTTACACTAACATTTATAAGAGATAAAAGTACATTCCTTAATTAAAAAAAAAATACCTGATAATTTAAGAAGTAAATATGTTCAGAAAATAAACAAATCAAGTTCTTTAGAACAGCAGCATGATACCTGGCATGGTTTTCCAGGACACGAAGTGGAGAGGAAGCAAATCGAAGATCCCACATCTGGATCACTGGTAACCGGTCATCCTCAGAGGCAAGGACCATCTGAGTAGCAACATCAGGATGCCACGCCAACCCAGAGCAATGCATCTGCAGACAGTTAAGGTTCACATTTTATGAATCAAATTACTTTATGAAAAGTAATTTGATTACTCAAATGAGAAATATGCCTTTATTAAAACAAATAGTAAAAAATATCAGCTTTGCCTTATTTTATTTTGTTTATTTTTTTTTTTTTTTTTGCTTTTTGCTTTTTTTTTTTTTTTGAGACTGTGTCTTGCTCTGACACCAGGATGGAGCACAGTGGGTCAATCTCGGCTCACTGCAACCTCCACCTCCTGGTTCAAGTGATTCTTCCGCCTCAGCCTCTCGAGTAGCTGGGACTGCAAGCGCCCACCACCATCCTTGGCTAATTTCTGTATTTTTTAGTAAAGACAGGGTTTCACTGTGTTGGTCAGGATGGTCTCAATCTCTTGACCTCGTGATCCGCCCACCTCTGCCTCCCAAAGTGCTGGGATTACAGGCGTGAGCCACCTTGCCTGGCCTAGTTATTTACTTTTTCAAGATACTCTCACTCTGTTGGCCAAGCTGGAGTGCAGTGACACTATCTTAGCTCACTGCAACCTCTACCTCCCCAAGGTTCAAGTGATCCTCCTGCCTCAGCCTCCCGAGTAGGTGGGATTACAGGCGCAAGCTACCATGCTGGCTAATATTTGTATTTTTAGTAGATATGAGGTTTTACCATGTTGGTCAGGCTGGTCTTGAACTCCTGAATTCAAATGATCCTCCCACTTTGGACCCACCGCACCCAGCCTTGGTTTATTTGAAGGAACAAAACAAAATAAATGTAAAACTACTAAATTTTATTGAACATCTTAAACTGTAGTCTTAAAAGTAAGATATCTGAATGTTTTCTCAATGAATCCAGCAATTTGATACACACAAAACCATTCTGAGTCAGAATAACTGTATACCAAAAATGAGTTTCACTATCAAAACTGTAAGAAACATTTCATGCCGGGCACGGTGGCTCAAGCCTGTAATCCCAGCACTTTGGGAGGCCGAGGCGGGTGGATCACGAGGTCAAGAGATCGAGACCATCCTGGTCAACATGGTGAAACCCCGTCTCTACTAAAACTACAAAAAATTAGCTGGGCATGGTGGCACGTGCCTGTAATCCCAGCTACTCAGGAGGCTGAGGCAGGAGAATTGCCTAAACCCAGGAGGCGGAGGTTGCGGTGAGCCGAGATTGCGCCATTGCACTCCAGCCTGGGTAACATGAGTGAAACTCCATCTCAAAAAAAAAAAAAAAAAAAAGAAACATTTCATTTTATTTGTTTGTTTGTTGAGATGGAGTCTCACTTTGTCACCCAGGCTGCAGTGCAGTATGGCACAATCTCAGTTCAGTGCCACCTCCATCTCCTGGGTTCAAGCGATTCTCCCACCTCAGCTTCCCCAGTAGCTGCATTATAGGCATGCACCACTATGTCTGGCCAATTTTTTGTATTTTAGTAGAGAAGGAGTTTCACCATGTTGCCCAGGCTGGTCTTGAACTCCTAAGCTCAGGCAATTCGTCCACCTCAGCCTCTCAAAGTGCTAGGATTACAGGCATGAGCCACCACGCCTGGCCAGTAGAGAAGGCATTTTTTCACATTTAAAATACTTTCAGAGAAATGGGAAAAAAATAGTTAAAAGATTAACACCCAGAGGTTGGGCACGGTGGCTCATGCCTGTAACGCCAGCACTTTGGGAGGCCAAGGCAGGTGGATCACGAGATCAGGAGTTCGAGACCAGTCTGGTCAATATGGTGAAACCCCGTCTCTACTAAAAATATAAAAATTAGCTGGATGTGGTAGCAGGTGCCTGTAATCCCAGCTACTCGAGAGGCTGAGGCAGGAGAATCACCTGAACCAGGAAGACAGATGTTACAGTGCCAAGATCGCACCGCTGTACCCCAGCCTGGACGACACAGCAACCAAGACTCCATTAAAATAAAAAAATAAAAAAAATAAAAAAACCTAAAAAGCACAAAAAGATTAACACACACACAAGACACAAGAAACCCCCACATTTTTCCTCTATTTTATCAGAAAAATCGAGACAAAATATCTTTTAAAAACTTATTTAAATTTTCATATGGGATAAATTAACATTATTAAGAACTATTTGGAAATTCAGATTCTATTAAATGTTCCAGAAAATGACTAAAATGCTGCTGGTATGGTTCATTCCATTGAAACTTCTGTTTTAAAACTGCTGATTCACTTGAAAACAATACTCTGAAGAAATGTTCTCCCAAACAGTTTTTTGTTGTTATTGTTGTTTTTAAATTACATATGTATTCTCTGACTTTTGACAAACTTATTTTAGAAAATGTCAAACTATCCAATGTAATCGTAAACAAAAACAAGGCTCTTAATTATATCTAAATTATTTTATAGTACCCAATTACATTAAAAAAATTAAGATACCTACAAGGTTCAGAATTGAATGTGGTCTATGGGCAAGGGCCAGAAAGATATTAGCTCATTTAGCACTGCCTAATCAGAGGAAGAGATGAGGCCAAGAAGTCGAATACTACAAATTCACAGTGATGAAGTTTCCAGCAGGAAAAATTTCTATATTCTAAGAAAAGCTAAAGGTGAATTAAAAAGTTGCAGCAATGGTCAGGCATGGTGGCTCACACTTGTAATCCCAGCAGTTTGGAAGGTCAAGGTAGGCAGATCATGAGGTCAGGAGTTTGAGACCAGCCTGACCAACATGGTGAACCCCCATCTCTAATAAAAAATACAAAAATTAGCTGGGCATGATGGCTCTTTGCCTGCAATCCCAGCTACTTAGGAGGTTGAGGCAGGAGAGTCACTTGAACCCGGGAGGCGGAGGTTGCAGTGAGCTGAGATGGTGCCACTGGCACTCCAGATGGGCAACAGTGAGACTCTGTCTCAAAAAAGAAAAAAAGTTGCTGCAATGTTTTAAAACAGCAAAACAAAAAACAACCAGTATATCATGGAATAAGTTCCTTGATTAACCAATCTCTCTTCATCATTAATAATATCCAACATATTTATTGAGGATTTTATGACTTTTCCCAGAGAGGAAAAAACTAAACATTCATTCTAACAGGATTGATTAATGAAAAAACAGGATTTGACTTCACAGAAATTTGATTGTTGTCAACTCTGACAAAAAATATAGGAATACCTACAGCAGAAATACAACATGTTCATCACAAGTCAATTATATACTTACTCTGTTACTATGGTCACTGACTTTGATGATTGGTTCATTTTTTCTAAGATCCCATACGGTAGCCCGGCCACTGGGACTGGCTGATGCTAAAATATGCTGAACTTGTCTGTTCCATGCAATGCAGCTGATATCTTCCGGAGGCTACAAGGAATAAACTGTTAATAAAAACTGTTTCTCTATTATAATGAAATTTAACTGCAAAATTGGATCATTCATTTTGAAAAGTGGATTACTTAAAAATTTAATCCATTTATCCCACAAATTTGCTTTCTACTCCTACATCTCTACATTCTCAGTACATACAATAATACAGTTTAAAGCGCAGGTACATGCCACTTCAAATGTATTATCTTGTTTAATAATATCTCATTTAACAAGCATTTGATTGAATTCCTGCTATAAACTGATATATTCCAGGTGGTACTGTTTCTTAACTTTGCAACTGCTGCAAGGTAGATCATGGACCACAAACTAGATGTTGGTGACTATGACAGAAAACTAGGCAGGGCAAAAGTTACAGCCTAGACTATTAGCAAAATATCTTTATAAATGGTAGTGTGTGCATATGCTCTCATTATGCTACCTCTCAGATTGCCAAAATGTCAGAGCCAGTTGCAACGGCTACTCAAGTTAGAAGGCCTATACAACATAAAGAAACTCAAGGAAGACTAGGGGAAGACTGTTCTTACCAAACTTACTAGAAATACACAAGCAAAGGGCTTGAGGTTATTTATTTTTAAACCTTGCCTTCCATGGTCTTATCTGAGTATTTCTGTTTTTTGTTGGTTTGTTTGTTTTTTTGAGATGGAGTTACACTCTTGTTACCCAGCCTGGAGTGCAATGGTGCGATCTCGGCTCACTGCAACCTCCGCCTCCTGGGTTCAAGCAATTCTCCTGCCTCAGCCTCCCGAGTAGCTGGGACTACAGGCACGTGCTACCATGCCCAGCTAATTTTTGTACTTTTAGTAGAGACAGGGTTTCACCATGTTGACCAGGATGGTCTCGATCTCTTAACCTCGTGATCCACCCACCTCGGCCTCCCAAAGTGCTGGGATTATAGGCGTGAGCCACCACGCCCGGACTGTCTGAATATTTCTAAAGAAGTTTAGTTGTTGCTAAAATACAGAGCAGCTATCACACAAAGAACAAAAATAATTATACTATTAAGGATTTTTGTTCATTTTGCCTAGCACAATGGCCAGTGTCTACCAGATGGTAGGTGCTGAATAAATATTTACTCTTGAAGGACGCACCGATACTCTGAAGAAACATATTTACTAATATTTTACTGAAGAAAAACCAGTAACATCTAAACAATGATTTTAAACATATATGTTTTGTGTGAGAAGCCTTAAAAGTGAATTAAGCCTTAAAAATTAAACCTTAATTTAGGTTTAAAAGAACTACTTTTTGCTTTTTTTATTACAATGATCAAAATCAATATAATACCTGTGTTTTGGCTCCTGGTGTCATTGGAGTTGCAAAATTATTTAGATCCCATATGTAGATTTCAGATTCATTAGCACCAGAAGCTACCAGATTAGTCTGTAACAAAAAACCACAACTAAATAGCACTTATGAATAATTAAGAGAATTCAGAATAACTCAGTTCAGAGCTAGAAAGATAGTAGATGTAGCATATACAATTTTTCCATTTAATTTAAAAAGTGAAAAACATATGCATGAATTTCTAAATTAAGTATAATTATTTCAAAATTTAAAGTTTTCTAGAAAAAACATAAAATTCTACTTAAAGACAAAAGATGTCTACTAATTTTAATGTAAGATATTATTTTAAAAACTATATGGCTATATTCTTAATCAGTCATGCAACCATGTAGGAATTACTGTTTATATCTCTGCATCTCTGGAAAGAGATTTAATTGTAAGATTCAAAAGGTTATCAATTATTGCTTTCAGAAAAAGCTGAATCCTAAAACTCTGGCATCTTTCTCAGGATAACTCAAAGCCAGCTTCCAGAGCTGAATCAATACAGCACTAGTAAAATCGCTTGTCATAACTCTTCACATATTTCTAGTCCATTTACACACTCAATCTTGTTCCAGGTGGCAATATTTCTGGGTTTTCTCTGTTACATACCTTAAGGATCAAAAAGAACTTAAAATTGTAACATAAAGTACAGGAACATAATGGGCTTCATATACTGACCTTCATCTTATTTACTATTTACTCTTACAAATTATTCTTTTTTCAACTGGCATATAACTAAAAAAAGAGAGAAATTCTATAGTAGGAGCTACCTATAACACAAAATACTTTACTAAAAATCAGCAGCTATTTAATACAATTAACAAAGGAGTTAACTAAAGAGCAGACACCACAAAGTATAGAAATGAAGGGCGGGCACAGCGGCTCACGCTTGTAGTCACAGTACTTTGGGAGTCCGAGGCAGACAGATCACTTGAGCACAGGAGTTCAGGACCAGCCTGGGCAACAGGGAAAAACCCCGTTTCTACAAAAATTAGCCAAGTGTTGTGGCTCATGCCTGTCATCCCAGTAGGATGACAGGAGATCAAGACTACAGTGAGCCATGAGCCACTGTGGTCCAGCCTGGCCAATGGAGCAAGACACTGTTTCAAAAAACAACAACAATAGCAACAAAATAAACAAGTTGGGTTTCTGTATTGCTATATCCTAAGTATTTATAATATAAGAAAAGAAACTATTTACAATTTTCTTTTTTTTTGAGACGGAGTTTCGCTCTTGTTACCTAGGCTGGAGTGCAATGGCGCGATCTCGGCTCACCACAACCTCCGCCTCCTGAGTTCAGGCAATTCTCCTGCCTCAGCCTCCTGAGTAGCTGGGATTACAGGCACGTGCCACCATGCCCAGCTGATTTTTTGTATTTTTAGTAGAGACGGGGTCTCACCATGTTGACCAGGATGGTCTCGATCTCTTGACCTCGTGATCCACCCGCCTCGGCCTCCCAAAGTGCTGGGATTACAGGCGTGAGCCACCGCGCCCGGCCTATTTACAATTTTCTTAATACTTAGTTTTGGTTGTTGTAATCTAGTATGCTCT